CCTTCTTCATTCATTGCAGGTAGAATAGGAGTGGTTCTATCAGTCAAGCCCACATGTTTTTTGAGTAGGGATACATGGAAGACAGGATGTATCCTACTATCTTTGGGTAAATCTAACTTGTAAGCTACAGTTCCTACCTTCTCAATAACTGGAAAAGGGCCACAGTATTTAGGACTCAATTTCCATACTGTTGATTTCCTCATACTCAGTTGCCTGTAAGGCTGAAGCTTAAGATATACCCAATCTCCTACTGCCAATTCTCTTTCACTTCTCTTTTTATCAGCTAACTCCTTCATTCTTTCTTTAGAGAGGTTTAGTTGATGTTTCAGTTTCTGAGAAACCAATTGCCTTTGCTCCAATTCATGCTCCACTCCTACCACAGATAACTCTCCATAGGGTCCTGTATTCAGTGTAGGAGGTTTGTAACCAAACAAAGCTTCAAAGGGACTCATTCCCAGAGCTGTGTGAAAACAACTATTATACCACCACTGAGCTAAAGCAAGCCATTTACTCCAATCTTTAGGAATTCTTCCACTCATACACCTCAAATAACTTTCCAAACATTGGTTTACCCTTTCAGTTTGCCCATCTGATTGTGGATGATAAGCTGTACTGAGGTGATGTTGAACCCCTAGAGATTTGAACAATTCTTTCCAGAACAAACTGGTGAATACTTTGTCCCTGTCAGATATTATGGATTCAGGTAAGCCATGGAATTTGCAGATATTATTCAAAAATGCTAAGGCTACAGTTGCTGCAGTAAATGGGTGATTAAGAGGCACAAAATGGGCATATTTGGTGTATCTATCTACCACTACAAATATGGAGTCATATCCATTGGATTTAGGCAACTTCTCAATGAAATCCATGGTGACATGCTGCCAGGCCTGTTGTGGGATTGGTAAAGGCTGTAATAACCCGGGGTATTTGACATTCTCATGTTTGCACAATTGACAAATATGACAGGTACTCACTACTTGGTGTACTGTCAATTTTAAGTTGGGCCACCAAAACAGATTTCTCATCCTGTGGAGTGTAGCTAATTCTCCTGAATGTCCCCCAGTAGAACTCTCATGTATCAAAGAGACTACTTTAGCTCTTATATCTCCATTTTTTCCTACATACAACTTATTCTTGTACCTCAACATCCCATCATGATACGAAAAATAGCTCACATTATAGGGAATAGTTATTAGTTGTAAAATAGCTTCTTCAGCATCAATATCTCCTTTATAGCTCTGAATTAACTCTTCTTGCCAAACTGGTCTGACTGCAGATATAATATAGCAATTTTCTGCCCTCTTATTCTCCTGTTGATCCCTTCTTGATAAAGCATCTGCTACTCTATTCTCTGGACCCCTTTTATACTCAATCTTGTAGTCAAACCCCAATAATTTGGTAAGGTATTTATGCTGGATGGGAGTAGAAACCCTCTGGTCAACTAGGTACTTGAGGCTGATTTGATCAGTTCTAATTATAAATGGAGCATGTAACAAATAGGCTCTCCATTTTTCAATGGCTAATAATATAGCCAGAAACTCTTTCTCATAGATGGATAATCCCAGATTTTTTGTTCCCAATGCTTTACTAATGTAAGCTAATGGATGGTTTTCTTGTATCAGTACAGCTCCCAGTCCATCATAGCAGGCATCAGTCTCTACTATGAAAGTCTTCCTGAAATCTGGTAATTTCAGTATGGGTATGGTACACATTGCTACTTTGAGTTCATCAAATGCCCTCTGTGCTTCTTTACTCCATTTAAACATGCCTTTCTTGGTTAACTCAGTTAAAGGTCTAGCTTTTATCCCATATCCAGAGCAAAACTTTCTGAAATAACCTGTCATTCCCAGAAATCCCCTCAATGCTTTGAGTGTAGTAGGAACTGGCCATTCCATAATACTCTTAATCTTGTTGGGATCCACAGCTACTCCTTCCGAACTAATGATATGTCCCAAATATTCTATCTGTGGTACTCCAAATATGCATTTAGATCTCTTAGCATACAGTTGGTGTTGTTGCAATAATAGAAACACCTCTCTTAAATGCATTTTATGAGTTGCTTGATCTAGGCTGTAAATGAGGATGTCATCAAAAAAGACAAGTACAAACTGCCTTAGGTATTCTCTAAACACACTGTTCATGAGGGCTTGAAATGTAGCTGGAGCGTTTGTTAGCCCAAAAGGCATAACCGTAAATTCATATAGTCCACTAGCAGTAGTAAAGGCAGTCTTCTCAATGTCCCCTGGCTTCATTCTAACTTGATGATACCCCGCTCTCAAGTCTATTTTGGAAAAGATTGTTGCCCCTTTTAGTTCATCTAGCAAGTCATCTATTAATGGAATAGGATAATTATTCTTAATAGTGACTGCATTCAGTTTCCTGTAGTCCACACAAAACCTCCAAGATCCATCTTTCTTCTTAACCAGTAACACAGGACTTGAGTAAGGGCTTTGACTATGTTGTATAACTCCAGAGTTTAGCATTTCCTGAACTAGTTTCTCTATCTCTTGCCTCTGCAGGTATGGATATCTGTAAGGAGCTTGTTTAAAAGGTTTCTCCCCTGGTTTGATGTCAATCTTGTGCTCACAGTTTCTGTATGGTGGTAATTCTCTGGGTTCCTCAAAGACTCCTTGAAATTCAGTGAGTAACTGCTCAAATTCTATATCTGTAGGATTTTGTGCTTCACTTCTCAGGTTGGTTACCATGCAGAAATATCTAGATACACTCCCATCTCTTTTGTTCAAGATCTTCTTCACTTTTTTTCCTGATATCATCTTCACAGATATCTCTGGTTGTATTCCATTCACTATCACTTTCTCACCTTTATGATCAAAGGTAATTGAGTGATTATCATAGTCAAGCATTATTGGTCCCAATTTCTTCATCAAATCTACTCCCATGACCATATCATATCCTCCTAAAGGTAATATCCTTACACTGGCTGAAAATATATGTCCAGCCATCTCCCACTCCAGCCTAGGGCATTTAGAATTACATTCTATTTTTCCTCCTCCTGCCACAGTAACCTGTAAAGGATTAGTTACCTCAATATCACAGTTGATTTTTTTTGCTGCCCCTGGATCTATGAAGCTGTGAGTGCTTCCAGAATCCACCAATATAGTCAACTGATTATTTTTTACCTTCCCTATCAACTTGATGGTATCAGTAGGTATATGTCCTTTCAGAGCATGTAATGAGACTCCAAAATCTCTGTCTTCATCACTATCTTCTTTCTCTACTAGTTCAGTGGGTGTTTCATCCTCTTCAGCCAGTAAGATCACAAAAATTTTCTTGCACTTGTGTCCTACTGTGTACACCTCATCACAGTTGAAACACAATCCTTTTTTCCTCCTTGCATCCATTTCTTCTTTACTCAGACGTTTCACAGTTATAGACCTCTCTGTAGGTATTACTCCTTTATTTTCATTTCCTGTTTTTGGCCAGTAACTTTTCAATTGTGTTTTCCCAGTTTTCCCTACTGCATCTAGCAGGGATTCTTGTTTTTTGGCAATTAGATAGGCTTGAGCTAATGTTTCAGGAGATACAATTTCTACCATATGCCTAATTTCTTCTTTCAATCCACTGAGAAAACTCTTCAGAAAATAATACTCATCAAGGTGTTTATTTCTCTGTAGCATAAAAGATCTGAGTTCTGAAAATTTGTCTATATAATCTTCAACTGAACCTTTTTGTCTCAGCTTATTAAACTCTCCAATGATGTCATTTTCTTTTGAAAATTTGTTCAGGAAGAGGGTTACAAAGGCATTCCATCCCATGGATTCCTTGCCAACAATTTCATCCATATACCAGATTTCTACTTTCCCTTCTACATACATCCCCACAAGTACTATTTTATCGAAATCAGACATTTGATGAATAAGGAAATAACGCTGACATTTCCTAATCCATCCTCTAGCATTAGCCCCATCAAAACGAGGAAAGTCAAGTTTGATACCTCGGTGACTGCCAGGAGTTGATATCAAACCTTGATCTGGATTTCGAGTGGAATGATCTGTATGAGGAGAAGTGGAATTGCTGCTGACACCTTTGATTGCTGTGAGAATATCTGCGAATTTCTTCTCCTGTACTTCCATCAATTTGGCTAGGTCAGCTCGTTGTGTTTCATTCATCTTCTCGATTTCCGTTCGCATACTTGCAAGATCTGTTTCTAGCTGATTGATGCGGTCCGTGTTACTTAGCTTCGCCATTGGTGGACTCGTTTCTGGAGCTCTGATACCAAGTTGTTATGAACTTCAATAGGGAGAACGAAGAACATAACAAGAATGCTACTGAAAAGATTAAGAGGGGAGTTACAGAGTAACAAGAAGAAGAGAAGGATCAGTTTATTCATAAGCCCCATCGTATACAATTCGTTTATTTATTTACACAGATCAAGTCTAACTAATTAGTTGGAGAAATGATGACATGGCACCCCCAGCAGTTACAACACCAACTAACTAATTAAAGAATTAAAATGGCAGCTAATTATTTGTAATAAGGAAGACTTGATCTTAACACTAGACAACGTATTCTTGCATATTTCACAATGAGATATATATCTTTAGGCGCCAAATTTAGATTCAGGTGAAGAATTTAAACTTACGTCTAAATGCGATTAGGCTAAGGATACAAATAGATCCAGGGTAGATATATAACAATTCATAAACTTAAGAGGACAATTAAAACAGGTTAGAACACCTTTATGTTCCGTATAGCTTTCTACAACTTAAGTTAAATAAACGAAACGTCTTAATTGTTTTCATAAGTGCAACCTTAGAATATAATCTTATTCATGTTTGAGTTATGATTTTAGGCTACACTACAAGAATCTCGCAAATCAGTGGCGGATTTTTGTGACGGAATTTAGCGTCGGAATTTAATGGGGACTTAACTCCGCCGGTATTTAGTGGCGGATTTTTCGCCACTACTTTCCGTCAGTAAACATTGACGGACATATATCCGCCATTAATATCCGCCAGTAATTTAAAAAATTAAATACTCCCTACCAACTTATCCTAACTCCACACAATCTTTATCCTCACATCTCACTCGACATGTTCTCTTCAGCAGCTCCAAACTCGAAATCTCAGGTTAGAACTCTTACCTTTTTAAAAAAAAATTAAAGTTATATATTCATATTTAATTTATAAATTAACTTGTCATGTGCATATATTCTTATATATATGATAGAGAAGTTTTGTCCTTGTTTGTTTGATTTCCTTATTTTTTTAAAAATAAAATTCAACTATGTTTGTGTTAATTACAAGATTGAAGATTATTGTTAAAAAATAAATATAGGAAATTATTGGTTGTTCAAGTTATATGTGTTGAATGAAATTCAATAATAGATATATGTTTATTGTAATATTTATAAAAAATGAGATAACATAGTAACAAAATAAAATCTATAATGTATATGGTAACTTAAATTCTAATTCACATTAATGACTTAAGAGAAAATTTGGAAATACTTTATTCATAATATATATATACATTGCTAGTTTAATTAGTTTATTCAATGAAAATGTAATTTATGTCGTTTTTTGTTTAGATTTCAGTATGAGTAATAATAGGTCATGGATGTACAAAAGACTAGAGAGACGAGGATGTCTAAATGATGATTTCAAGGAAGGTGTAAATGAGTTCATTCAGACAACGCTAAATTCATATTCCAGCGGTGTCATTGCATGTCGGGTGTTTTCTGAAAAAGGGGGAATGCAATGCATCAGTGTCCAAAATACGGGAGTTTTTTTAGGTTTTCTGAAAACACGGGAAACGTGTTTCTCTGATCCGAAAGTTTTAGGTATAGTTGGGAGACCTAGGAAAAAAGTTGAAAAACGGATTCTATGAATCCGAAATTTGGTTTTAATTATTTTTAGGTTGAGTAGGTTGACTAAGTTGAGTGGGGTATCTCAAATTGAATAGGCTATGTACGTAGAGTTGAGTAGGTAAATAATAATATGAAGTAAGTGCATTATTTTGTACTCTATATTTTAAAAAGTAATTTTTAGAAGTGCATTGTTTGGTAACACTATTTTTCGGCTTATCAGGCTTATCAGCCAGCTTTTTCATCAAACACGTAACTTTTGCTTTCGCACACTGAATTGTGGAATAAGCAGAAAAAGTAAGGTTGTAGTTACTTTTCTGGTTGTATTGGCTGAATTTACTGTAGATGTCCATTTTAGCTATTTTTACACATAGTTTTTTGTATATTTTATTAATACAATATATTTTAAAATTAATTTTTTCTCGAATCAGCAGAATCAGCCAATGCAGCAGCCACTCCTGCCAGAACTTCATAAATTTCAGTAGAATCAGCCAAAACAACTGATTTTGGTGCTACCAAATGAGCTCGAAAATTGGGTTGTGGGATGAATAATACTACGTAGGGTATATGAAAATAGGGTATATGAAGTATTATTTTTTGGGTAATTCTCATATTACGTGGGATAAATAATAAAGTGTTTTGATTGGGATAATGTGTTAAAAATGAATAAATTTAGTGATATTTGTAATTGGAAATATGTGTATTAATATATTAAATAAGAAATAATCAATTGTTAGATTAGTGATTGTATTAATTAATGAATATACATATTTAATGATATTGTATTATGAAGTTATTCAATGTTCCAAAAAAAATAAATAATATAAATATTTCATTACTCGTTTCATCTATAACAACAACATGACAAAGGAATACAAATTTTTATTCATTAAAAAGAGTTACAGAATACATATAAATGTTTACTTTTGTGCTCTCCTACTCGGGCGCATATCCATTTCATTTGTAAATCTGGTCTTTTGAGGTCTACTGGTTTGACCGTGCCTAGCACTTTGAGGCGGTATCACTAAATATCCGGTATCCGGCATCCGGCATCGCACTTACGTCATGCATAGGCATAATATCCGAAGCATACGTACGGATGTAGGCACCTAATTTATACACGTCCGGGATGAGATGATAAACAGTTATTTCTAAGAAATGACATGTCGCATAGGCGTGAACACATGGGAATCCATTCTGCTTCCAAAAACCGCAATCACATTCGCAACGTGAGAGATTTACGGTTACTGGCGGATAATCACTAATGGAAACAGAGTATATTCCCGTTGATAGGTTATGCGGGACAATAGTGCACCGATGCCTTTGCTGCGAACGTTCAAGAATATCTTTCCATATATTTTGCGGATACCGGAACCCAGCTTGCCGCCACATCTGACCAGCCCTACGTCGGTCGGCAAATAGTTGCACAACTTTGTTATAAGTCGCCTTAACAAGCGCGGTGATTGGAAGTGTGCGACATCCCTTTAGGACGTTATTGAAGCTCTCAGAAAGATTTGTTGTGAGGATGCCGTAACGTCGTCCGTCATCGAAGCACAATGCCCAATTTTCATGTGGAATATCATTCAAATATGTGAACGCATTCTCATTCCTAACACGAATTTGAGCCATTGTTTGGTAAAATTCACTCACAATGGGTGTACTCCCAGCCTGCCAACAGAGCTTTTTCAGTTCAGTGCTCCTGAATTTTGTCATGAAATTGCTCCTAATGTGTCGGAGGCAGAACCGCTTTGAAACTTAGGAGGTTTTCAATTGAGGTACTGATCGATAGGCACTTAGGATGCCGGGATGTCGGTCTGATATTAGGCACACATGTCGATTTGGTCTAACAACATAAGTCATAACGTGTTCCAAAAACCGGGACCAACTATCTGTGTTTTCACTTTCCACGACTGCGTAGGCGAGAGGGAAAATCTCACGGTTAGCATTCATGGAGACTGCAACCAGGAGATGGCCCTTGAACTTTCCGTACAAGTGAGTACCGTCTACTGATAGTACAGGCAGACAATGTTCAAACCCATCAATGGAAGCTTTGAAAGCCCAAAATGCACGGTGAAATTCATACGTACCAGCGTGATCGGTTGGTTTTGGTTGGAAATCTACCACTGATCCTGGATTTGATGCTCTTATCGCATGCAACAAATTGGGTAAATCATTGTAGGCCGCCTCCCAGTTGCCGAATCTTCGCTCAAGGGAGATCAAACGTCCATACCATGCCTTTTTGTACTTGACATTGATTCCGAATTTGTCGTATATGTCTTGGATCACGAGTTTAATGCTGTAATCCGAATTATGCAGTCGTGTAGTGGCTGATATTTTTTCACCTTCCAAAAATTGGTGTTGAGAATATTTCCCGCCTGAATGTGCCATGTACACGTTTCATCATAGATGCAAACTGCCTTCCACGATCTGACACGTTTGTCAAGTGTCCTAAAAATTCGGTTTGGTCGAATACTTTCTTTGGCTACGCCTTCTTTCAGTAAGTCGTATGAATCATATATTTTGCCGACCACAATTCTATCACTTTCACGATTTGCTGGTTCAACATATGGTTGTTCCAGTTCGATACCGGCCCATGTTGTGTCATGAACGACATCATTATCGTCAGAATTTGTTGTTGCATCATCATCTCCAGAAAATTGTTCATAATCAGAATCTTCTTCCTCTTCATATGTTGTTGAAGGGCCATCTTCCTGTTCAACACAATGCGGGTTATAGCGTCCGCCGTATCTCGTTGATGGTCCGTCACCGTGGGAGTGGATATTGTGAAAAGTTTCACAATTGTGAGTATCACCTCCTCCATATGTGTTATATATGTGTGTGTGTATATTTTATTAAATGAAATTATAAATTACATATATAAATTTTCAATGAAACTATATCAGTGTTACGTATTACATTATAATATATGTACGATTGATATTGGGCTTATCCACTGAACAGTATTACCACCATGCCAGAAACTAGAAAAGGACTAGTTTTAGACGAGGTTGTGAAAATTGTAGCAAGATAGTCCTATTATAATATATATGAACCGATACAAATTTTAGACTTGTCATTGAGTAATATTTTCACTGTGCCAGAAACTAGAAAAGGACTAGTTCTAGACATAACATTTGCCAGAAACTAGAAAAGGACTAGTTCTAGACGAGGTTGTGAAAATTGTAGCAAGATAGTCCTATTATATAATATATATGAACCGATACAAATTTTAGACTTGCCATTGAGTAATATTTTCAGTGTGCCAGAAACTAGAAAAGGACTAGTTCTAGACGTAACATTTGCCAGAAACTAGAAAAGGACTAGTTCTAGACGTAACATTTGCCAGAAACTAGAAAAGGACTAGTTCTAGACGAGCTTGTGAAAATTGTACCAATATAGTGCAATTATAATATATGTACTGATTGCAATTTTAGACTTGCCACTGATTAATATTTTCATTATGGCAGAAACTAGAAAAGGACTAGTTCTAGTCATAACATTTGCCAGAAACTATAAAAGGACTAGTTCTAGACTTTTATGGCTCAATTATAATAAATATTATGAACTAAATTATATTATAGTGTTATTTGGGAATAAATTGTGATGACTAAATTCAAATGTTCAACTAACTAAACTAAATTTAAATTTGTAAAAGCAACGTAGTCTCAAATTACTATATACACTGATTTATTATTTAATACATTATAACAAATATTAGTGAACCAATTATTTTTATTAATATTTATTTAGTATGACTATATCAACTATCTTAATAGCAATTAAGATCTGCATATTAATATTAAAAATTTTCTAAATACTGAGATTGAAATAAAAAAATCAGTACACGTGTAATCACAAATACTCCGTTTGGTGACCCCATTTTTCGGCTTATCAGGCTTATCAGCCAGCTTTTTCACCAAACACGTAATTTTTATTTGACGTGCTGAATTGTGTAATAAGTAGAAAAACTAAGGTTGAAGTTACTTTTCTGGCTGTATTGGCTGAAGTTACTGTAGAGGATCATTTTAGCTATTTTTCCATATAACTTTTTATTTTATTAATTAATAAAAAATATTTTTAATACAACTTTTTCATGAATCAGCAGAATCAGCCAATACAGCCACATCAGCCAGAACTTCATAAATTTCAGCAGAATCAGCCAATACAACCAATTTTAGTGTTACCAAACGGCCTCAAAAAGAATAAAAATATAATTAAATTTCTAACCTCTTTGAAGGACACAACGAATTAAAATCGGCAACAACACTCAATAATTTTATCTAATTGAATTTGTTTTTTGTAGTGTTTAATATGATGTTGGAGGTATTTAAAGAGGTAAGAATTGTGGTTGGATAGTGAACCATCCCACAAAATAAATGGAGGGTTGAGATTTTTTTAATATGATCTAAGGGTTGAAAATAAGAAGAGGAAAGCACAATCCGCGTGTTATTCCTTTGACCAATCAGAGAGCTGTTTCGTGGAGCCGATGTATGGAGCTGGTGGCCAAATAATCGGATTACACAAATCCGAAAACACAAAATCCGAAGCTGCCATGCATGCCTCTGACACATCCACAGCCATCCATATATATCGGATTACACAAATCCGAAAAAACACCTGGCCCATCCGACTTCTCATATTCGGATTAAAGAAATCCGAATTGTCTAATTAAATCACGGATTCATGGAATCCGACTTTTGGTTCTGATCCGACATCTCTATCGAGACTGGTAAATCCCACAAAAAACCCTACAAAAGTCGGATTCCCCAACCCCGTTTCCCGTAAATTCATACCCTAGCTCCGACATTCGTATTTTGGGAATGGATGCATGGAATTCCCGTAAATTCGTCCTTTCCTCTTGCATGTCCCTGTAGAAAGTGTAAAAATCGAAAATGGTTGACTTGGGATATTGTTAAGCAAAACCTATTTGAGAAAGGTTTTGTTGAGGACTATTATGTATGGGCAGCACATGGAGAGACACCCAATTCAAATGGTCTGGTTTATTTTGATCAAGCTAACTCCTCGTATTGTAATGCATCTGAGGTCCAATATGATCCATACAAATCAATGCTTGAGGATGCAGTAAGGAATGAATTCCCAATAGAAAATCAAGGCGATTTTCTTATGAATGAGGAGCCTAGTGCAACATCCAAGAAGATGTATGAGATGCTAGATATGACGAGTCAACCATGCTTTGAGGGTTGTCCAATGACTGAGTTGAGCGCAATGACTAAAATGTTGAACATAAAGACTGAGATGAATCTATCTGAGGCTGCCACAGACAGGATTGCTCAATTTGTGAATAGATTTTTCCCAACTAAAATCCCCAATAGGCCTATACCAAATTTCAACAAAATAAAAAGGAAGTTATCATTGTTGGGAATGACAAGCCAGTCTATTGATTGTTGCCCAAAAGGGTGCATGATATATTGGAAAGCAGACAATGAGCTAATGGAGTGCAAGTTTTGCGGTGGTGCAAGATACAGGATCAGTAAGCAAACAAAAAAAGCAATTCCACTTGCAAAAATGGAGTACTTCCCACTTACTCCTAGATTACAAAGGCTTTATGCATCAGATACTACCGCAGAGAAAATGAGGTGGCACAAAGTTCACCATAGAGAAGAAGGAGTTATGCGTCATCCATCGGATGCAAAGGCGTGGATTCATTTTGACAATCTCCATCCAGATTTTGCTGAAGACCCGAGAAATGTTAGGCTTGGTTTATGCAGTGACGGGTTCCAGCCATTTGGACAATTTGGTCAGAAATACTCTTGTTGGCCTATCATAGTGACACCATACAACTTGCCACCAGGTACGTGTATGAAACAACAATTTTTATTTTTGTCTATATTGGTACCTGGACCAAGAAATCCAACAAAGGGGATAGATGTGTATTTGCAACCATTGATAGAAGAGTTGAAACAATTGTGGGAGGTTGGGGTTGTAACGTATGATGCATTCTCAAGGGAGAATTTCAATATGCGAGCTATGTTGCTATGGACAATAAGTGATTTTCCCGCATATGCCATGCTTTCTGGATGGAGTACAAAGGGCAAATTTGCATGTCCATGTTGTATTGAGTTTACTGAAGCATTTTGGCTATACCATAGCAAAAAACATAGTTGGTTTGATAATCATAGAAAGTTCCTACCAAGTGATCATCCATTTCGGTTTGATAATGAGAACTTTACTAAGGGAAAATCAATCTTCTATGGCCCTCCGTTAGCGAGAGATGGTTCATACTGCTATGATGAGGTCAGTTCCCTGATGTCTGTGACTGAAGTAGGAGGTATTGAGCATAATAAAATAGTTGGACGAGATATTGGATGGAAGAAACGTAGTATATTCTGGGATCTCCCATATTGGAAGGATTTGCTTATACGACATAATCTCGACGTGATGCACATAGAGAAGAATTTCTTTGAGAATATGTTTTATACAATTTTGGGGGTGCCAGGAAAATCGAAGGACCATGCTAAAGGGAGAATGGATATGGAACAAATTTGCCATAGGCCGAGTATGGAGAGGGGCGGTAATGGAAAATTCCCTAAGGCTCCTTTTACTATTTCAAGTGAGCAAATGACAGTGTTATGCAATTGGGTTGATTCACTGAAGTTCCCAGATGGCTTTGCATCTCGGTTAGGACGTTGCATAGAAATTGAAAAACTTAAAGTGTTTGGCATGAAGAGTCATGATTGTCATGTGTTTATGCAACGTTTAATTCCGATTGCTTTTAGAGAGATGTTACCTGCTTCGGTTTGGGAGGCAATCACAGAGATTAGCTTATTCTTTCGTGAGTTAACAAGAAAGAGTATCACCGTTTCTGACATGGAGAAGCTAAAGGCAGATATTCCCATTATTCTATGCAAGTTGGAGAAGATTTTCCCACCATCATTCTTTGACCCCAGTGAGCATCTTGTAGTACATTTACCAGATGAAGCTTTGTGGGGCGGACCTCCACAGTATCGTTGGATGTATCGTTTTGAAAAGTTAGTGTCTTTTACTTTTTCTCTTTCAATTACTATAATCTTTTATAAATTTGACTTCATGTCTTAAGTGTTATCATTGACATAGTTTCCTAGGATCAGTGTTGAAGACAAAAATTGGAAACAAGGCAAGAGTTGAGGCCTCGATCAGGGAAGGTTATTTGCAAAGTGAGATGGGTACATTTGCGAGTTACTATTTCCCGGAGGAAGTGGTTACAAAAGAACGCCGTGTGCATAGATTGGATGATGGTTTCTTTATTAATGAGGATGCTAGCGCTTCAATTTTTGCACAAAAGGCAAAAGCAGTCGGTGCCCGCACGCGGCGACACATGAACCAAAATGAATCCAGTGCAGTTCACTCGTATGTGTTGCTAAACTGTGTAGAAATCCAACCATTCCGAGAGTAAGTCATACTATTCTAAGCATTGTTTTGTCATATCTAATGTGATATGATATATTGAACGTACTTATATTTAAACGTGAGTGTGGTCTTTTATTACAGGATGTTTATCAATACAACAGGATTAACTACTTCTGACGAAGCCCAACTACAAGTGAACTTTCCTTTATGGTTTTACCACTACGTGAGAATCTAAACTACCTTATTTACTTAAATAAAGTTGAACTACAGACTGTATAGAGTTTTTATACATTGCATGTGTTAAGATTTTGTGCTTTGTTTAGGTGGAAAACGACACAATAGATCATCCACGATGGCTTCGTGCTTTATCTAGATTCCCCTCTCCATATGTGACTACTTACCAGGCGCTTAACATAAACGGCTATAAATTTAACACTGTTGAGCGTTCTGAAGACAGGGTTACATGTAATTGTGGGGTTATGGTGAAGTGCACCGGTTTTGATGGATCGAGGCTCGATTACTATGGATTGATACAAGAAATAATTCAGTTGGAATATCAAGAATACAAGGTACTTGTTTTCAAATGTAAATGGTTTGATCCTTCTGATAGAGGTACACAAGTCCATCCATTGTACAACATAGTTGATGTACACATGCAACACGTACTTCGTACTCCAGATTGCTATATTTTAGCATCACAGGCCGATCAAGTTGTGTATGTACCGTATCCGAGTGCAAAGAGGAAGGTCAACAGATGGCAATCTGTTGTTCAATGCATGCCCCGAGCTTTTGTGGAGAAGGAACGAGGTGAAGAATCAAATGAAGAAGAAGAAGATGATGAGGAAGAACCATCAACATTTCAAGAAAATGAACCAGGAATCTCATTCTACATAGAGTTAGATTTTTCAGGGGCACAACATATCGATGACCTTAGTGGTCTTCCTGCCACCTCGACTACTCCAGAGTATATGGATGACGCATTAGACGGAGCATATGACAATGAGCATGCAAATAATGACAATGATGTTGTCCAAGAAGATGATGTTGAATGCACAGATGATGATGATGTTTAAAGTGGTGATGATCAATGTGTATTTCTTTATTTATATGTTATAAGAATTGGCAGAAGTTATTGTAGACAACTATTTTGGTATATCTTTTTTACTTTATTAATAGAGTAATTTTTTGGTATACCGAAATTTCGATAAACCAAACTATTTTGGTAAATCAAATCTTCGGTAAACCAAACTAAGAAGGTGTTCTCATCGTCTTAATCTTATTACTTATTCTTTATTCTTATTTTATTCAGATCAGATCAGAAGCATTCAGATCAGATAAAAAAACATTCAGATCAGATCAGATCAAAAACATTCAAACCTGATTTATCACTTTTATTATTATATTAATTATAATTATAATTATTACTATTATAATTATTATATTCTAACTATTGTTAATAATATTAATAATAATATATTAATATAATAATAATGATATAATAATAATAATAATTACAATAATAATTATACCAGGTTTGATTCAGTCATTTTACCGAATTATGCACACCCCTAGTAGAATTTGCCTATCCATTTACTTAAACCTCAAATTCATAAATTACAATAGAATTAGATGATTTAGTCACTTTAACTATTTTGGCAAAATTAGTTTTTTTTGGAATAAAATTAGTTGTTTTTTAGGAAGGTGTTTTAAAGGCAATATGATTACGATGAAAGAAGTTCAAAAAATTTAGGATGAAAAACTCAAAAAGGAAATGGTATGGTAGCCCGGGAAACCCCAATTTTTTTGGGAAACTTCCCGCTCCCTCCACATTTCTCACAAATATCTACTCACACTTGGGCAAAACAAACCATTCACAAACCCTAGGTATTCCGCCATTCGTATGAGTAAACTACTCCACCGTTGGGGGGTGACCTAGCGATTCCGCCGCTGGGGTGACCGAGCGATTCCGCCGTTGGGGCGACCGAGCGATTCTGCCGCTGGGGTGACCGAGCGATTCCGCCGCTGGGGTGACCGAGCGATTCCGCCGTTGGTTTTTTGCCCAGTTGGTCATACAGTGCTACCTTTGTTCCCCTCTTCCATATAGAACGGTCAGTCCTTTTCTGTCGTTCTTTTCTTTACAATCTCTTTTGGATGTACGATTTTTAATTTGTTTTGCTCATACAAGACAGTTCTTCTTCTGGTTTGTCTTGCATTGAGCCGGATATTTTTTTCATCTAGCAGCAAAAAGATGCTTTAAGTCCTAAAGAGACATGATTTTTTGCCACAAGTTTATTAAATTTAAGTCCTCAACCAAATCCAAGTGGTAATATGTCTCCCCTTTTATTTTAATTATTACAAAATCAGAATAACCATTTTTGTCAAAGATAGCCTGGTTTAGTTAATTTGAGATATTTCTGGATATATGCATCAAATTTGATCTTTTTTACTTATTTAAGCAAGTTAACTACTTAAACTGATGTCAAACAAAATGCAGTATGATTACGATGGGCCTTGTTGTTCCCTTGACTTTATGTGTGTGTATATATAACACTTCACTTACAACATGTTGGAGCATCCTATATTATGTCAAAACTGGAATCTGATGTCAACCAAGTAATTTAACTTGAACATGTTAGAGCAACACTCTCGGGAGCTGCACTTTGACCTTGAATCTTCATACAATTCTGTCATGGCAGCTTAGCCCTCTGCTGGTTCTTAGATGATGCAACAAATTTGAGTGCTAATTAATGGTTTGTTTCATTCAAAGAAATTAAGTTCTAATTGTTTCTCTCTGTCTAACATATATGTATTTTTTCTAAATATCTCTTATCAACTTGATTATAATGTGACAAAAAAAAGAACAAAAAAACAAAACTAGATCCCATAATTCCTCCTTTGCTTTTACCAGTACACACACATTGTCAGACATTATGTATACCTAGCTTAGCTTGTAAGAACAGTATGAGTTGCTAGTTATTGTAACTGGCTGGATGTGCTAACTTTATTTTGTTTGGTTTTAAGCACTCCTAATTATTCTAAAACAGAACTTTATTGGTGCAGGTTGCTTTTCCAAATGCAGAGATGAAAGACATGCATCGGCTGAATTAATTAATTAGATAATAAACAGAACTTTATTGGTGCAGGTTGTTTTTCCAAATGGCTACGTTTAAAGGACTTGGATCTTGTGGTCAGAATAACAAACCAGGGCATGTAAACCAAGCGACATCGGGCAGTTCTAGCCGTTCAACACCATCTCCACCCACTTCTTCACTTGGGAGGAACACGACTCGGTTCTCCACGCCATCGTTTTCACACTCAATACCGTCTAACATACTTGGCAGCAACATTGCTAAAAAGATACTGCAAACAAAGCAGCCTCCACAACCACCTCCCTCACAATATAGTCTACCTCGGGGTCCTAGGCCAAATATGACACCCCTAGATAACCAACAACCAATCATTTCTCAACCCCTAAACCACCAGAAACAGAGTCCATCATTGCCTGACCAACATCACTCAACATCACATATTCATGATGATATATTTGAAGACAATCAAGATGTGGAAGATGAAATCATTGATTGGAAGCTCAATGCCTATGGTGATCTTAAGTGGGGAGAAAAGCCATTAGATCCTTTCAAGTCTATTTCGGTGGCAAAGTTTCAAAGACCCAATGTTGGTGTAAATGCAACAGGAGAGTAAGTTTAATATTTGTGTGTGTACATTGTTATTTATGTTATGCAATCTAGCAAATAATGTGTACTTTCAATGCAGGCTTATCAATGTTTCTATCAATAACACAAGCTTAAAGTTTCAAGGCATTGTCTCAAAACAAATCAAGTATAATTTACATCCAGCTGGTCAACAATGGAAATGGGTTCCTGAAAGGACAAAAGAATTGTATTGGGAACAATTCAAGGTTATTTATGTGTATTTGAAACATAAATTGATTTTATAACAATAAGCACCTCTTTGTAAAACAATATTCTTTATAGCTTATTAAGTAATAAATAAGTTTACATAGAGTCTGTACTTTTTTATTCTAAAAAACTAATAAAAGAATCTAGTTCCGGTTATGAGTTTAATGATTAAAAATCTTTGGAATACAGGATGTAGTGACTTGGGATACTTCTAAATATGAACTTCAAGATATTCAGAAAGCTTTCGAAAGACATTTAAAGAGTCACACTTACTCAAGTACTATGCTTGATATCAGGTTGGCACAATAAATGATGTTACTTTTTAATCTATGCCATAATTTATTCTCATATGTTATTAAAATTTCAAGGAAAAACCGACCTCCCACAGTGAATGACTTCACTTGGGCTGCAGTGCAAGAATATAAGAGGTCAATACAATTTATAAAGGCATCCGAGTCAGGTAAGAAAAATCGAATTGCTGGTGGGGACAAGTGCAAACAATATGGAGGATCTAGAGCCGCAACTGATTGGGCTGCACAAGAGGTAATTTTCTAAATTACTATGAAACTTTGGATGATGATTTTCTTTCTTCTACTTCATTGGGTGTAATAGGGTGACTGTTTTATACTTTGGACTGTCATATTTTTTTAGTTTTCAGTTTTGTATGTGATTTGAATACAGAAAACAATTCTTTAGGGTCTGTTCGTGAAATGCTTTGTTGATTAAACGATAAAACCTATAGTGTTGATTCAGTTTCTCTTATTCGGATATCTCGAACTTCAGTACATAACAACAAAGCAATTCAAGTTGATTCCGTTTAAGAAAGAAATGAATATAATTTTCTTAAATAATTTTGAATCAACACTAAAATCAAGACAGTTTTCAAAAAAGTGGAAAACAAACACTGAAAACAGTTTTTTGTTTTCTAATAACTAAAAACATAAAACTAACAACAATATTGAACAGGCCCTTAGTTTTCAGTTTTAAATTTTCATTTCTTTTCAGTTTTTATTATGAAACTTGATTTATTTTGTCATTTCATAATTTTTCATTTCTTTTTAGTTGATAATTTTTCAGTTTTTATCATGATACTTGGTTAAATCTTTTCAGTTTTCAATTTTATTTCTTTTTTTTTTTTTTCACTTTTTAGTTTTTGCTAAAAATTTGCTTTGGATATCTTTCCTTTTTCAGCACTAAGATTTATCCGGCAGCCTGTATTTTTGGTGTGCTTAATCAGCGCTCATATGCAGCCCGTGTTTCATTGTTGCATTTGGATAACAATTATTATAAGAAGTGTATTTTTATTTTAAAAGTTTAATGCTTGGATGACTGTTTGCATTTCGTTTTAGTTGAGACTTACTGGTGAACATATAAATCCCTTCAAACTCCGTGACACGTACCATCCCAAGAAAAGGAAAAATGGAGAGCTAATTGATTATTCCTCCCAATCAAAAGTTATGGTATGCAATTCTTTTTCACTTTGTATTTCATAATGGTTCTTTGTTTCTGATTATCTGAATTTAAAGTGAATATTTATGTGATTTGGATGGTGGAAAATATACACAGGATTATGTAGCTAAGTAATTGGTGTTATTATTATGGATGTATTTTATTTGGTATTATATTTTAATTAGTTGTGTTCCCTTAAGATTCTCCTTCTTTAAGTGTCTTGGAATGGGCATAGGAACATGTATTGATGTACCAGAACTGTTAATGCTCCAGATTGCTGCAATGTCTAACCTATGTAATCAATTCTCCTCGATCGGTATAAAGAGAGCAGTCTGCATGCTTTACAGAATAAGAATAATACTATCTTAGTTTTAATATTCATTCACAATTCATGCTTTCTCAGTTATTGTGTAGTTGTTCAACTTTGACTTGAATATTTATAATTTCAGTTCATCTTTGAGCTGCAGTAGAAGTCTATCTTTGAGCTGAAATAAAAGTTGTTAAATCTGCTAAATTATTGTGATGTAATACAGTAGAAAGTAGCAATGATGGTTTTATGCAACTTCTATTCTATACCGAGTTTTGTCATTTTGTATGAACATGAAGCTATTGACAGATTGTCCAACATTTTTCATGAAGCTGAAAGTCAACATACTGAGTCATCAGAGACACAAATTGGGTTATCTAAGGCGGCAAAAGTTGCATTGTCGAAAATGTATTCTCTCTACTTTGAAGTGGCTGGGTGCAATAAGAAACGAGTTTTTGGAACCGGAAGGTACTCCAAAGCATTCCTTCAACAATTAGAGTCAACTCATCAAAGATGTTGTTCATCATCTCGACGTGTGTACGAGTTTTGTATCTATTGGGA